GTGCTGCACTTTCACCCCACACCCAATGCTGGGGATTGGGCACACAGCAATCAACCTGCCGCTTGTGGCCAAAGGCGTTGGAAGCGACCCTACTGCACTGGGGGTGTCGCGGGGGTCCCTTCCTCCCCCCGCAGCCCCCAAGCCCCCATCCATAGGCATTAATCCGCTTTCACTCTGCGGCGCACATCAGAGATCACGGCTTAGGAGCCAGCTGCGAGCCACGCTCTGGATGGGAGGGGGGAGGAGAGGGGAGGGGGAGCAGAGCCGTCTCCTCCCCATCAGCCGGGGTGCAGCCAACCCTCTGGGTCCCCCCGGCCCGGAGCTGCTGGCGCGGGGGGAGCGGAGCTGAGTCATGCGCGGCGCTGAGCCACGCACTGCGGTGCCGCCGTGCCGCTGGCACACGGTGCGAGATGGGGACAGCCCTGTGGGCACCGCCGCCCCGGGATGCCCGACGTGGGGCTCAAACAGCATCGGGGGGAGCTCGGCGTCTCCTCGCTGTAGTGAGACAAGGACTTTCGCTCGCAACCGCGGCGGCGAATCCAGGTCAACCCCGTGCCAGACGTGGTGCCACGCGTGCCAGCCCGGGGTGGGAACCGCCGCCGTGCCGCGGTATCTGTCAACCGGCATCCTCCGGGCGACGGGATTTGGAGGCTGGCGGTATGGCGCTGAGCCCACGCCAAAATGGGGGGAAAGGGGAAACCCTGCGGCTGGGGGAGGAGCGAGGATCCTGGGAGGAGAGACCCCAAGAGTAGGGGGAACCCCCGGGATTGGGAGGTCCTCAGGATTGGAGGATAGAGCACCTCAGGAGGAAGGATGCCACGATCGGTGGGACCGCAGCAGCAGAGACCCCAGGAGCCGGGGGGGACTCCAGGAACAGAGGGAAACCCAGGAGTCAAGAGAACCCCACAGTCAGGAGGGGACCCCCAGGACTGGAGGGATCCCAGGAGCATAGAGACTTCAGGATCGGAGACCCCAGAATCGGGGACCTCAGGAGCTGGGAGAGGGGGGAGGACAGCCGACACCTCAGGATCCCGGCAGGAGGGATCCCTCACTCAGCGAGACCCCAGAAGGTGGCAGAGCCCAGGACCGGGGACCGCAGGAACCCGGGGGGGCAGCAGAAGGATCTCAGAATTGGGGACTCCCGGAGCAGAGCAGAGAAGAGCTCACGTCCCGTTCCGCGGCTCCGCTCCCCCCCCATCCCCGCGGCCCTGCGGCAGCGCAGCCGCGCCACGGGGCGGGCAGGCCGGCAGCTTAGCTCTGCATTTCAATTGTGGCACAGCGCAAAAAAAACGTCGGGGAGAGCGGCGGGACGGGAACAGGAGGCGGGGGTGCGGGGCGGGCGCGGGATGGATGGAAGGTGCGTGCGGGGGGGTGCGGGATGGATGCAGGGAAGGTGTGGGATGGATGCGGGATGGCAGGGATGGCAGGGATGGCAGGGATGGCAGGGATGGCAGGGATGGCAGGGATGGCAGGGATGGCAGGGATGGCAGGGATGCGGGACGCGCCGTGCCACCGCTATGCCAGCCCTGTGCCACCGCCGTACCGGAGCCCCAACGCCGCCGCCCGGCAGCTCCACAACGGCCGCCCCCTCCCCCCCCCCCCGCAGGGCCGCTCCATCCCGGAGGGCCGTTCGGACCCCCCGTCCCCTCCCTGTCATCCCCGGACGAAGCCGTGCCGGCCCCCCCCTCGCTCCCCGTCGCCACACCGTCTCCCCCTCCCCCCGCCCCGCTCCCCCTCCCCTCCCGCTCCCCGCTCACCGCTCGGGCAGCCCCCGCCGCTCTCCGCCGCCCGCAGCGCTCTGGGGTCCGGGCCGGCACCGGGCGGGCACTGCGCATGCGCTGCCGTCGCTTTCCCCGCTGCGGGGTGGAGCCACGCTGACCGCGCCCCGCGTCGTCACGGCAACGGGCGGAGGGACCGCCCACTTACCTCCGTCGCCGCTTCCGGCATGGCGCCCCCTGGCGGCCGGCGGTGGTGGAGGACTGTGGGAGCCTCCGAGGATCCGCCGGGGGGCGGTGCGGGTTCCTCCCCGCGTCCCCTCGTCCCCGTCCTCAAGGCCCGGCTCCCCGCTCCCTCGTGTTCCTTTATCCCCATCTCTCTGTGCCCTCGTATCCCCATGTTCTTATGGGGGTCCCACATTTGTGCGTCCCCACAACACCGTGTCCCCATCTTCGTGTCCCTTTGTCCTCACGTCCCCATATCCCCGTGTTTTCATGTCCCCATGTCCCTGTGTCTCCACGCTCCCATATCCCCGTGTCCCCACTTCCCCGTGTCCCCATCTCACAGAATCACAGAATGGCCAGGGTTGGAAGGGACCTCAAGGATCATGAAGCTCCAACCCCCTGCCACATGCAGGGCCACCAACCTCCACATTTCATAGCAGCCCAGGCTGCCCAGGGCCCCATCCAACCTGGCCTTGAACACCTCCAGGGATGGACGGGGCATCCACAGCCTCTCTGGGCAGCTGTTCCAGCACCTCACCACTCTCTCTGTAAGGAACTTCCCTTGACATCCAACCTAAAGCTTCCCTCCCTCAACTTCAAACCATTTCCCCTTGTCCTGATGTTATCTGCCCTTTCAAAGAGTTGATTCCCCTCCTGTTTGTAGGTTCTCTTTAGGTACTGAAAAACTACAATGAGGTCACTGCAGCCTTCTTTTCTCCATGCTGAACAAGCCCAGCTCCCAGCTCAGCCTGTCTTTGTAGGGGAGGTGCTCCATCCCCCTGATCATCTTTGTGGCTCCTCTGGACCCTCTCCAGCAGCTCCCTGTCTTTCTTGTACTGGGGGCTCCAGACCTGCACACAGTGCTCCAGATGGGGCCTCACGAGAGCAGAGTAGATGGGGACAATCACCTCCCTGTCCCTGCTGGCCGCCCCTCTGCTGATGGAGCCCAGGATTCCATTTGCTTTCTGAGCTGCAAGAGCACACTGCTGGCTCATGTTCAGCTTTTCATCCATCAGGACCCCCAGGTCCTTCTCTGCAGGGCTGCTCTCAAGGACCGCTCCTTCCAGTCTGTGGGGATGCCTGGGATTCCTCTGCCCAAGTGCAAAACTTTGCACTTTGTGTTGAACCTCACCAGGTTCACCCTGGTCCACCTTTCCAGCCTCTTGAGCTCCCTCTGCATGGCATCCCTTCCTTCCAACCGCACCGCTCAGCTTGGTGTCGTCAGCAAACTTGCTGAGGGTGCTCTTGATTCTGTGTTCATTGATGAATCACAGAATTGTAGGGGTTGGAAGGGACCTCCAGAGATCATCGAGTCCAAAAAGAAGAGTCCAAAATGAAGATGTCAAAGAGCACTGGTCCCAAGACAAACCCCTGGGGGATGCCTCTCGTTACCAGCCTCCACCTGGACATGAAGCCATTGGTGACCACCCTCTGTCTGCGGCCTTTCAAACAGTTTCTTATCCATCGAGTGGTCCACCCATCAAATCTACATCCCTCCAATTTGGAGATAAGGATGTGGAGGGAGACCATGTCAAAGGCCTTGGTCAAATGGAGGTAAATGACATCGGTCGCCTTTCCCTTGTCCACCAATGCCGTCACTCCATCATAGAAGGCCACCAGATTGCTCAAGCATCACCTTCCTCTGGTGAAGCCATGTTGGCTGTCTCAGATCACATGCCCATTCCTCATGTGATCAAGCATGTCATCCAGGAGGATCTGTTCCATGATCTTCCCAGGCACAGAGGTGAGACTCACCGGCCTGTATTCCCCGGGTCCTCCTTGCTCACTTTCTGGGAGCGACGTGACCCTTTCTGGGACGAGTCCCATGTCCCCATCTCCATGTCCTCATGTCCCTATGTCTCCATTTCTACGACCCCATGTCCCCACTTCCCTGTGTCCCCACCTCCCCATGTCCTCATCCCTGTCTCCATTGTCCCCATGTCAGGTTCCCATTTGTGTCCCCATGTTCCCCAGCTCTGTGTCCCTACATCCCCACATCCTTGTTCCTTTGTGTCTCCACATCCCTGTGTCCCCATCTCCATGTCTCCATGTCCTCATTTCTGAGTCCTCATGTCCCCACCTCCCTGTGTCCCCATGCCATGTCCCCATTTGTGTCCCCATGTCCCCATCTCTGTCTCCGTGTCCCTGTGTCTCCGTATCCCCATTTGTGTCCCCATGTTCCCACCTCCCTGTGTCCCCATGCCACGTCCCCATTCGTATCCCCATGTCCCCACACTCCCATGTCCCATCTGTGTCTCCATGCTCCGTGTCCCCATGTCCTCATTTTTGTCCCCTTATCCCCACATCCCTACATCCCCATGCCATGTCTCCATTTGTGTCCCCACGTCCTCACACTCCCATCTCCCCATCTGTGTCCCCATGTCCCCTTATCCCCACCTCCCTGTGTCCCCATGTCCTATTTCTCAATTCCCATATCCCCACCTCTTTGTGTCCCCATGCTATGTCCCCATTTGTGTCCCCATGTCCCCACATTCCCATGTCCCCATCTCCATGTCCCCATGTCCTCATTTCTGAGTCCTCATGTCCCACCTCCCTGTGTCCCCATGCCATGTCCCCATTCGTGTCCCCATGCCCTCTGCCCCCACATGCCGACGGTGGCATTGCAGTGCTGCGTCGGTGCCGCCCCTCCGTCCCCCCTCCCATCAGACAGCGCTGCGGTGAGAACAGTTTTAATGCGCGACGGGAGCGGCCCCCCCTCGCCTACGGGGACATCTACGGGGACAAAGTGCACGAAGCCACATTTCACATCTCACACTACCCCGGGGGGGGACGGGGGCAGGGGCGGCCCCATAGCACCATGGTGTGTGTGTGTGGGGGGGGGGGGGGGGAGGGGGGAAGGCTGGGGTGAGGTGGGGGGGGTCCCTGCGGTGTGTCCCCTCCCGCTATCGACACGAACCATTATTGGGGGCATTTCCACGCGATGCACAAAGGAGGCAAAAAAATGCTCACTGATCCAAACCCGACGTGCAAACAGAAAAGAGACGGGGGGAGGGGGGAGGAGGTAGGCAGAGGGCTTCCTCCTGCCCCCCACCCCCCCAGCCCCGGCCCCATCGCTGGGGCTCAGACCCACGGCCCTACAGCACAGCTCCAGGGGGTCCCCCCCATCCACCGGGGCACCCCTCGGGAGGGGCCACTTCTCGGCTGAGCCGGGGGCGCGGGGCTCGGGGGGGCCCCGCCCGAGGGCTGCCTGCATCCTCACTTGGGAGGCAGCACCTCGGCGTTACCAAATGCCGCTTGATCGCCCTCCGGGGGGGGCGAGGATCCGGGCCGAGGCGCGCTTGGGGACGTGATCATCGATCTGCGAACCTGCGAAGGACAGGCGGACACGTAGATGGGTGGACGGGACCCGTAGCACAGCCCCCTCCTTCCCCCTCCCCCGGCATCCAACTCCCACCCACTCCAACACCATGGGAGCGTGGGATGGGGATGGGAATGGGGATGGGATGAGGGTGGGGTCAGCCCCCGCCCGGCCCGGGAGCCTTGGGTGCTGCATATAGGGAGGGGGGTGGGGGGGACATAGGGGGGTGTATGGGGGGTACACCGGGACAGCTGGGGAGCACTGGGAGGCTCAGGATGCACTGGGATGCTCAGGGCTGTACTGGGATGCTCCAGGTTGCTGGCGTGGTGTGGCTGGGGAGGCATTGGGAAGCCCAGGTTGTCCCTGGGTTACATTGGGGTGCCGTGGGGGTGCCGGGCCCCTCTTACCGGACAGGCTGAAGCTGGACTCGTGCAGGTCCCTCATGCCCCCGTGGCGCGTGGCAGGCCGGGTGGGCGTATCAGCCAAGGGTGTCCCCGTGTCTTTTTTCCCCGTGTGGACCACTGCTGCCACGTCCCCCAGGTACGGGCTGCGGTCCACGGCCCTCGGCTTTAAGCTCTGCCGGGAGATGGGGAGGGAGAGGGGGGAGAAGCACAGAGCGGGGAGAGCTGTGAGCTGAGCCCATCCGGGGGGCTATGGGGTGGGTGTGGGGTTATGGGGTGGGCGCGGGGTTGTGGGGTCTCCCTGCAGCCATGGGTTGGGCATGGGGTGCCCCTTGGTGTGTAGGATGGAGATGGGGGGGGTGGTCTGTGGTTTATGAGGAGGTGGATGGCCCCGCTGGTTCTGCCCCGTGCCCCCCTGCAATGCCATCCTCCAGAGCAACACCGCCCGCACCCCCAGCAATTGTCCTGGTGCCGTGGCGTGGGGACACGTTAGCGAGATGAGTGGGGATGGGGATGGAGATGGAGGTGGAGGTGGGGATGGAGATGGGTCTGTGCCATCCAGAGCACGGCACAACAGCACGGTGCCTCTGCTGCCTGCATGTCCCCATGCCCCGCACCTTCTCGCGCTGCACCAGCTTCTTGTAGACGCAGTCGGGGAAGGAGCGCAGCGGGCAGAAGCGCCCGGTGCCCTCGGCACACATGAAGACTCCGTTCTCGTAGACCACGCGCCCGCGGCTGATGGTGACCAGCGGCACGCCGTGGCACCGCATGTTCTCATACAGGTTGATGTCCCCTCCCTGCACTTGGGTGCTGGCCGAGATGGTCCTGGCGGGCGAGAAGCGGGGAGCTGAGCGCCGCCCCGTGGTGCCATCCCCGCCGCCGCCGCGCCCCACACCGACCTGGTGGCCTCGGGGTCCCACACCACCACGTCGGCGTCGGCGCCGGGCACGATGCGGCCCTTGCGGGGGTACAGGTTGTGCAGCTTGGCCGCGTTGGAGCTGGTGACGGCCACGAAGCGGTTCTCGTCCATTTTGCCCCCCACCTGCGGGGTGGGAGCGCGGTGAGGACGCGGCTCCCCTGAGGGACGGGGCCGCGTGACACACGTAGGGCCGCAGCCCCCGCACGCACCACGCCGCGCTCCCAGATGATGTTCATGCGGTCCTGCACCCCGCTGACGCCGTGCGGGATCTTGGTGAAGTCCTCGCGGCCCATCGCCTTCTGCTTGGCGCTGAACGGGCGGTGATCCGAGGCCACCACGTTCAGGGTGTCGCTGCGGGGAATGGGGATGGAGGGGCTGGGGGTCATCACTGGTAGGGGTGTGTGGGGAGAGGGGTTCCGTGCCATGGGGTGCTCAGGAGCGGTGCAGAGGGGTGCCTGGGGGCTGTGTGCTCAGAGAGGGGGACACCCATGCATTGAGGTGCTCAGGGAGTGGGGCTTCCGTGCAGTAGAATGCTCAGGAGCCATAGAGCAGGATGCTTGGGGAGCTGGGCACCCATGCAATGGGGTTCTTGGGAAGCAGGATGCTTGGAGTGAGATGCTCACGGATTGGGATACTCACACACTGAGGTGCTCGGGGATTGGGGTTTCCATGCAGTGGGTTGCTCCAGACTCATGGAGCAGGGTGCTTGGGGAGATGGGCACCCATGCGGGGGGGTTCTTGGGGAGGGGAACACCCGTGGAGTGGGGTACTCGGGGAGCAGGGTGCTTGGAGAGTGAGGTGCTCGGATAGTGGGCTATCTGTGCAATGGGGTGCTTGGGGAGTGGGGTGCTTACCAACTGGGATACCCACACATGGAGATGCTCAGGGAGTGGGGCTTCCATGCAGTAGAGTGCTCAGGAGCAGGGTGCTTGGGGAGCTGGGCACCCATGCAATGGGATGCCGGAGGAGCGGGGTGCTTGGGGAGCGGGGTGCTCAGTAGAGCATCTGTGCAATGGGGTGCTTGTGGATTGGGACACCCACGCACTGAGGCGCTCGGGGAGTGGGGCTTCTGTACAGTGGGGTGCTCTGGATCCATGGAGCAGGGTGCTTGGGGAGCTGGGCAGCCACGCGGGGGGGTTCTTGAGAGTGGGACAGTCATGCAATGAAGTTCTTGGGGAAGGGGATGCTCACGGAGTGGGGTGCTTGGGAAGCATGGTGCTTGGGGAGCTGGGCGCCTGTACAATGGGGTGATGGGGGAGTGGGGTTTTTGTTGATGGGACATTCATGCATTGAGATGCTTGGGGAGTGGGGTCCTTGAGGAGTGGGACACTCATGCAGTAGGGTGCTTGGGAAGTTGGGTGCTCGTGGATTGCAGTAGGGTGCTTGGAGAGTTAGGTGCTTGTGGACTGGGACACCCATGCACCAAGGTGCTCAGGGAGTGGGGCTTCCATGCAGTGGGGTGCTCAGGAGCCATGGAGTGCGGTGCTTGGGGAGCTGGACGCCTGAGGGAGTGAGGGAGTGGGGTGCTTGTTGGTTGGGACACTCATGCAGTGAGGTACACAGAGAATGGGACTCAGTGGGGTGCTGAGGACTCATGGAGCAGGGTGCCTGGGGAGTGGGACACCCATGCAGTGCAGTGCTTGGAGAGTTGGGTGCTTGGGGAGCTGAGCACTCATGCAGTGGGATGTTTGGGGAGCGGAGCGCTCGGGTACTGAGGTGCCCATTCAGTGAGGTGCTCAGCAGTGGAACAGCCATGGAACACGGTGTTTGGGCAGCAGAGCTCTCAGGGTCTGGGAATGGGGCCGGGGTGCCCCGAGGTGCCCCGGTGGGGGTACCTGGCGAGCAGGCTGAGGAGGTGAGCGGAGGTGTTGGTGTCGAGGCGCAGCGGGGGCACGGTGACGTAGGCGGCGGCGTGGAACCAGTCCTGGTGGTAGTAGTGCAGCCCCGTCAGCGTGGCGTGCGCCGTCGTCGTCTCTGCGTACACCGCCTTCCCTGCAGGAGGAGCACGGTGTGGGGATGGGGCCCACACATGTGCCCGTGTCCCCGTGCACGTCCCCGCAGCCCCCCCGGCATACCCTGCATCTTGGCAGCTGCGATGACGTCCCCCGCCGCCATGCTGGAGACGTTCACCAGGTAGACGGGGCAGTGCGTCTGCAGGCAGTGCCGCCATGGGGTGACACGGGGACACGGGGACCCCCAGCTTGGGGGCACCACCCGCAGCCCCCACAGAGTGCAGCACTCACCCTGTTGGCGATGGTGATGGCGCGGTGCGTGGCCTCCGCCTCCAGCTGTGGGGAGAGGGAGCAATGTATGGCACCAGGACGGGGGGACGACGGGGACAGAGCATGGAGTGGGGACAGATTCCACCTCCCCTCCCCACACCCACCTCCTCAGGCCTGCTGATCTCGATGCCCTCAGGCCCGGTGATGCCCAGCTCCAGCGCTTCCTTCGCTCCCTGTGGGGCACAGCACAGTGTTGCGGTGTCACCGTGTCACTGTGTCACCCCATCTTTGCAGCCTCTCGCCCACCTCAGCCACCAGGTCCCCATTCTCGGCGTGCACGCGGGCGATGGCCCCGATGTCCCGGCAGGCACGCAGAGCCTGGTACAGCTCCCCATCCCGCAGCATGTACAGCTCCTTGTAGGCCAGGAACATCTGGAAGGAGTTCACTCCCTTCTCCCGCACCAGCGTCTCCATCTCCGCCTTCACCTGCAGTGGGGGCACAGCGGCTGCGGGCATCGCCATATGGGGCAGGGCCCACACATCACCCCGTGGGATGGGGACAGAGTGGCTCTGGGGCACACGGAGCTATGGGGTGGGTGCAATGGAGACCCACAGCTGGGGGCTCTGGCAGAGGGGTTAGAGCACGTCCTGTGGTGCAGGATGCAGGTGCCTCCCGCGATGCCACTGGGTATCCCCTCTCCGTGGGGTGGACACAATGGGGACCCACATCATCCTTGGCACAGTGGCACACCGGTGCCGTGGGGCACCCCTGGCTACGGGGTAAGCACAGACAGGCACACGGGGGGCTCAGAGGGGGGGATCCCACCCACCCCGTGGGGGTGTCACCCACCTGCGGCGCCCACCAGGTGACGCCCACATGCAGGGCGTAGTCGCAGCACACCTGGGGGTCTGCGAGCGCTCGGCACCGCTCGAAGGCATCCACCAGCGAGCGCTCCTTGGCAGGCAGCACGTGGCCCAGCACCATCGTCGTGCCCCCCACCAGCGCCGCCTGCGGGGACACGGTGGGGAGATGATGGGGCGATGGCCCCGCGTCACCCTGCAGCGCTAAGCCACAAAGCCACAAAGCTGCTTTGGCTGTGGCACCGCGCCGGGTGTCACCAGTGTCATTGTGTGTGCGCCGCGGGGATGGGGACAGGGACAGACGGCGCTGCCCCACACAATGGAGCTCTGTGCAGGGGATGGGGCTGTGCCGGGAGGAGTGGGGCTGGGGGTGGGACCCACAGCACTGCTGAGATTTATGGCATGGATGGAATCTGAAGCAAGGCTGGGACCCACGGCATGGCTGGGATGCATAGCATGGCTGGGACCCATGGCATGGCACAGATGGGACCCACAGAATGGCTGGGACCCATGGCATGGCACAGATGGGACCCATGGTATGGCACAGATGGGACCCACAGCACGATTAGGACCTACATGATGACTGGGATCTGCTGCACAGCTGGAACCCATGGCATGGCTGGGACCCATGACTAGGAGCCAGGGCATGATCAAGCCTTACAGCACAACCAGGTGCTGGATCCAGCAGTGACCTCTATGGGGCAATGACCCAAATGGCTCCAACCCACCCCTCCCAGCCCCACTCTGCACCCTTCAGCCACATGGTGCGCCCCACCTTGGTGCCATGATAGAAGTCATCGAGGCAGGTGGCGTTCATGAAGGTCTGGTGGAAGTGGGTGCTGGTGTCGATGCCGCCGGGGATGACCAGCTTGCCACTGGCGTCGATCACCTTGGCACCACCGGGGATCATCAGCTCGCGCCCCACTTGCTGGATGATGCCATTCTCGATGTAGACGTCGGCCTCCATGGAGCAGTCGTCGTTCACCACCTTCCCCCCCTTGATCAGGATCCGCACCGAGGCCGCGTTGGCGAGCATGGCGCTGCAGGCACGGCGCGGGGCAGCGTGGTGCCCCAGGGGTCAATGGGGCGCTCCGTGGGGCCGGCACCACCCGCACGCAGCCGCAGCCGCAGCCCCACGTCCTATGGGGTGGCTCTGCCTACTGCCTGGCGTGCCACCCCGTAGCCCCCAGCCCCACAGCAGCTGAGCATCCCAGCACTGCGGCTCGGGCAGCTGCCCGGGGTGGGGCCACGGGTCCGACCCACGCCCCGTAGCACCGGGAATGCCATTACCCACACAGCCGCTCCGCTCCGGCCCCGTGCAATGGGGACGAAGAGTCAGAGCCCTGCCCGGGCAGACCCACAGCGACAGACCCCGCGGCGCGGGGCAGATGGATGGGGACGCGGGGACGCCCCGGGCGGCAGCGGCTGCTGCGTCGCACCCCGGAGATGAAAGAGACAGCGGTGACGGATTTGGGGCGGCGGGGAGAGGCACCGCCCTGCAGCAGCGATGGGGCCGACACACGGGGAGGGAGGGACGCGCGTGGGACCCACGGAGCGCGGCCCCAAACGCCGCTCGGCCCCGAATCCCACCTCTCCATCGGCGGCACCCAACGGCCCCGCGCAGCCCCAAATCCCACAGCGGTACCCGACGGGCACCGCCCGCGCCCCACCCGAACCCCCCCAACCCGCATCCCCGCAGCGGTACCCATCGTGAGCACCTCCCGGCCCCAAATCCCACGCGGCCCCGCCCGCCCTCCCCCCCTCCCCGCTTTGTGCCGCGGCCCCGCGGAGGACAAAGGCGGCGGCGCTGCGGCCACGCCCGGGGGGTCTCCCCCCCCCGCTCCGGTACCGCCGCCGTTCCCCTCCCCCCCGACCCTCCCGGTACCGCCCCGCAGACAAAGCCCCATTGTTCCCCGCCCTATCGCGATACCCCGCGCCCACCCTCGGCCCTGTCGCGACGCTGCCACCCGAGGGAGGGGTTGAGCGTGGAGGTGACCCCGGAGCATGTCGCGACAGCCCCTCCCCACCGCGATACGCGCACCTGTCGCGATCAGGACCCTCCTATCGCGATATGGGGGAGACAAACGGGGCCCGGCGGGAGCAGAAATGCCATTTCCCACAGAATCCCATCGCATCCCATAATAGCACACCGCTCATCCCATAATAGCATCCATCCGCACCCCATCCTCCCGCCCGTACCTCCGTTCTCCGCTCCGCTCCGCTCCCGCCGCACCCTCCGCTCCGCTCCGCTATCCCTCAAGCCACGCCCTCAGGGGCGGGGCCAACCGAGAGTTCGTCCAATCGTTGTCCGCATTTCCCACTCGTGGGCGTGTCCTTCTGATGGGCAGGTGTAATGGGCGGGGCCTGGCAGTGAGCCCACGCCCAACCAGCGGCACCTGTCGTTGCCGTGGGGACGGCGCCGAGGGCCCCGCCCACAGGACCCTACGTGAAATACCATTGGCTGATGGCAGCGCCCCGCGGAATCCTATTGGCTGGTCATGTCCTTTCCGGCATCTCATTGGCTGACCTCAGCCCCCAGTGGTCTGCCCGCCCCGGAAGGCCCAGTGCCTTTGCCCCATAGACAGACCTGTGCATCTATATAGCGTATAGAGACCCTATGGACCATATAGCCTCCTATAGCCCCCCCGTAGCCCTCTATCACCTCCTATAGCCCTCTAGAGTCCTCTATAGACTCCTATATACCCTATAAACCCCCACTGATCCTATCATCTCCTATTGACCCTATAGCCCCCCATAGCCTCTATAGCCCCCCATATACTCTACAGTTCCCTTTGACACCCTATACATCCCCTGTAACTCCCTATAGCCTCCATGTCCCTTACAGATCCCCTATAGATTTGTGCAACCCCTACAGCCCCTGTAGACCTTGACAGCCCCCTACAGCTCCCCACAGACCCTGTGGCTCCTTGTAGAGTCCCCTATAGACCCTAGAAAACTGAGGCAGGTGCTGTGCCAGGCAATTTCTGACCCACAGCTTGTGGGGAGACAGTGCAGGGCCTCACAGTCTTGTGCTGCAAGAGCAGAGCTCTGACATATGCTCCCCATGGGACTGAGCTCAGACTGGGATCCCATGATGGCTTGTGATACCAACACCTGTTGAAGACCCATCACCCACTGAGGTCCCCACCATCCATTGGGACCCAACCACCCATTGGGACCCCACCATTCATTGGGATCTCATCACTCATTGAGATCCCAGCATCTATCAGGATTCTGTCACCCACTGAGATTCCATCAGCCACTGGGATCATTATCACCCCTGAGGTCTCCATCACCCACTGGGATTCCATCATCCATTGAGGTCCCTGTCATCCATTGAGATCCCATCAGCCATGATAATGATACTATCCAATAGGACCCCATCGTTCATTATCCACTGACGTCTCTGTCACTCATTATGGTCTCCATCCCTTACTAGGATCCTGTCACCCATCAGGACCCCATCACGCATTGAAGTTCTCCATCACCCATCTGGATCCCACCATCCACTGAGGTTCTATCACCATTGAGGTCTCCATTGTTTACTGAGATCCCATCACCCGCTGGGACCCCGTCACTCACTGGAACCCCACCACCTACTGAGCCCTGTCTCAAATGTGGATGCCATTACCTAATTGGACCCATTGAGACTTCACTTCCCATGGGAATCTATCACCCACTAAGATCCCACCACTCATTGGGACCTCACTATCCAATGGCAATATATCACCCATTGATCATCCATAGGGCTTTGCCACCCTCTGGGACCTCATCACCTATTGGGACCTCATCACCCATTGGGATCCCATCATCTATTGAGGTCTCCATCACCCGTTGGGATCCAATCATCCACTGAGATCTCCATCACTGCTGAGGTCCCATCACCCATTGAGATCTTACCATCCATTGGGATCCCTCTACCCACTGGGACTCCACAACACATTTGGACTCCATTACCCATTCGGATCTCATCACTCGTTGAGATCTCATCACTCACTGGTACCCTGTCACCCACTGAGATCTCATCACCTACTGAGACCCCACCATCCAGTGGGATCTCATCACCCACTGATGTTTCTATCACCTGCTGGGACCCCATTAGCCACTGAGGTCCCCTACTAGGGGACCCAGTAGGACTCCATCACTCACTGAGAAATCATCACCCATTGAGGTCTCCATCACCCATTAAGGTCCCATTACCAGCTCGGATCCCATCACCCATTTGGACCCCATCACCAACAGGAATGCCACCACCCAATGGGATTCCATCACCCATTGAGATCTCACTACTAGTTGAGATCTCCATCACCCACTGAGACCCCATCACCCATTGATACCTCATCACCCATTGGGATCCATCAACCATTGGGATCCCATACCTCTTGAGGTCTCTATTACCCATTGGGACCCCAACATCAGTGGGAATGCTGCTATCCAATGGGACCCCATCACTCATTGAGAACCCATCACCCACTATTAGCCCCATCACTCACTGAGATCTCACCACCCCTTGGGATCCCACTACCCACTGCGACTCCACCACCCTCTGGGACCTCACCATCCACTGGGATGCCATCACCCATTGAGATCCCGTCACCTACTGAGATGCCACCATCCATTAGGATCTCATCACCCACTGAGGTCTTCATCACTCACTGGGACTCCATTAGCCACCGAGATCCCCTACTGGGGGACCCAATAGGATCCCATCACCCAATGAGATCTCCATCACTCATTGTGGCCCAGCCATGCGTTGGGATCCTATCACTCAATGGGACCCCATTACCAACAGGAACGCCACTACTCAATATGACCCCAGCATCCATTGAGAGCCCAGAACCCACTGAGGTCTCCATCACTCACTGAGGTCCCATCACAGCCTAGGATCCCATCACCCTTTCAGACCCCATCTCCAATGGGAGTGCCATCACCCACTGAGATCCCATCATCCCATTAGGATCCCACCATGTGATGGGATCCCATCACCCATTGAGGTCTCCATCATTGAGGTCCCATCACCCATTGGGACCCCATAACCAACAGGAGCACCACGACTTATTGGGACCCCATCACCTACTGGGATCCCACCACCCACACCCACTGAGGTCTCCATCATGCACTGGGACCCAATCACCCCATTGGGATTCCACTATGCAATGGGATCCCACTGAGGTCTCCATTACAAATTGAGGTCCCTCATCACCCACTGGGATCCCATCACCCATTTGGACACCATCACCAATGGGAGTTCCACTATGCATTGGGACCTCATCACCCATTGGGATCCCATCAACTCTTGAGAACTCCATCACTCATTGAGATCCCCCATCACCTATTGGGACCCCATCACCAACAGGAACACCACGACTTGTAAGGACCCCATCACCCATTGGGATCCCATTACCGGTTGAGATCTCCACCACTCATTGAAGTCCCCCACCTCTCGTTGGGACCCCATCACCAACTGAAACACCATGAGAACTCCATCACCTACTGAGATCTCACTACTAGTTGAGATCTCCATCACCCACTGAGACCCCATCACCCATTGATACCTCATCACCCATTGGGATCCATCAACCATTGGGATTCCATACCTCGAGGTCTCTATTACCCATTGGGACCCCAACACTTATTGTGACCCCATCGCTCATTGGGATCCCACCACCCACACCCACTGAGGTCTTCATCACACACTGGGATCCCTTCACCCATTGGGACCTCATCACCTATTCAGGACTCCATCGCTCATTGAGGTCCCAACGGGAATACCCCTTCTCATTGAGACACCATCACCCATTTGGATCCCATCAACCCACACACACCAAGGTCTCCATGGGATCCCACAGTACATTGAGACCCCATCACCCATTGGGATCCCATCAACTCTTGAGAACTCCATCACTCATTGGGATCCCCCATCACCCATTGGGACCCCATCACCAACACGAACACCGTGACTTATTGTGACCCCATCACTCATTGGGATCCCACCACCCACACTCACCGAGGTCTCCATCACCCATTGGGATCCCTTCACCCATTGGGACCTCATCACCCATTCAGGACTCCATCACTCATTGAGGTCCCCCATCATCAACAGGAACACCCCTACTCATTGAGACACCATCACCCATTTGGATCCCATCAACCCACACCCACCGAGGTCTCCATCACCCACTGGGATCCCACAATGCATTGGGACCCCATCACCCACTGGGATCCCACAACGCATTGGGACCCCATCACCCATTGAGATCCCATTACTGTTGAGATCTCCATCACCCACTGAGACCCTGCCACCTATTAAGGTCTCCATCACCACTGGGACCCCACGCCCAAAGGGCCCCATCCCACTGACGCTGCACGGAACCACACGGAGACCTATTTTTCTCTTTTTTTTTCCTCTTTTTTTTCTCCTTTTTTTTTTTTTTGCACAAAAACAGTACATTTATTCAAGTGTTCTCCAGCACAAGTACATTAGAAAGGAGCTCGTTTTTATGGTTTTCTTCCGGGCACCAGAGAAAAAATAAAAAGGCGGATGGGATGGGAGCGGGACGGACAGACTTCCTACACCTGCTGCACGCATTTGACCTCTTAATTAGTTCAGAACAGCAATGTCACGAGCAATACTCACACAGATACAACAGAGCGCCGGGCAGCGGCCGCGGGCGAACCGTACGGTGAAATGTACACAGCTCCCGGCAATAAATAGAGAAGCGACCCTAAAAAAAAAACAAACCAATAAAACCGGAAAAAAAAAAAACAAAAAAAAAAACCCCAACAAAACAAAACAAAAAAAAAAAAAAAAAAGGGAAAAACAAACAAACAAACAAACAAAAAAAAACAACCCAAAACAACGCAAAACCCAAAAGGAACGAACCGAGAGAGAGAGAAAAGAGAGAGAGAGAGAGAGAGGAGGATGAGGAGGCGGAGGAAGGGCGCGGGGCGGAATGTGGGGCGGGCGGCGGCGCCCGCCGGAGGAGCGGTCCCAACTCGACGCGGCGATCCCTCGGGTGAGCACACGGCGTGCCGCGCTGCGGCGCTGCGGCTGCTTCCACGGCGCGGGGCGGAAACACGCGAGCGCGGCTGGCTTCAAGTACAAAGTTAAAATGCCTTTTTTTTTGCCTTTTTTTTTTTTTTTTTGCCTTTTTTTTCTTTTTTTTTTTTTCCATTTTTTTTTCCTCTCATTTTTTTTTTTCTTCTTTTACTTTTTTCTATTTTCCTTTTCATTATTTTTTTTTCTGTTTTTTTTTTCTCATTTTTTTTTTCTTCTCATTCGTTTCTCCTCTTTTTCTTTTTTTTCC